TAAATCTCTCCTCCAAAATCATAAAGATACATGTGTTTGCTAAAACCCCGCAAAGATATTTGTACAAAGAAAGGCTTGAATAGTCTTCCCCTTCCTGTCTCCATCCCCTGTCATGCAAGAAGACTAGGTGCTCTCTGCCTATTGCCTCTCCCCATCACCGGGGACACCAGGCCCCTGGCCACCTGGGGGTGTCTGGGGTGGGGGTGGATCGGGGAGGAACAGATGTGGAGGGACTGGGCAGGGAGTCTGTTGAAATCAAACAAATGGGACAGTTCAATTCTTCCCCCACCACCTTTTTCCTTCATGTTTCAGTTTGAAATAATTTTAAGCATCGAGAAAAGCTATAAGGTTAATACAAAGAATTCCCACATATCCTTCACCCAGGATTCCTTACAGTTTTGCCAATTATCCTAATAATTTCTCTTTTTTTCAGCTCTTTTGAGGTATAGTTGACTAATAACACCGTAATATACTTAAAGTGTACATTGTCATGATTTGATACATGTATATACAATAACCCTTTAATAGACTCTATAGTCAAAGGAGCTAACCCAGAACCACACATTGAACCAGTGGTCCTGTCACTTTCATCTCCTTCAGCCTAGGACCCTTCCTCGCCCTTCCTTTGACTGTGTTTGGAAATGATAGACCAGTCACTTTGAGGAATGTCTTCTTATGTAGCTTCTCCAATGTTTCCTCATGTTTAAATTCAGTTTATGCACTTTGGGCAAGAATATTCCAGACGCGATGTTATGTTCTTGTATCCCATCGGGTAGTGTGTAATGTCAATCTGTCCCACTGTTGGTCATGTTTACTTTGATCACTTGATTAATATGATGTCGGTTAGGTTCGTTCTCCGTAAAGGTACTTTTTCCCCTTTATAATTAGTGAGTACCTTGTAAGGGAGATATTTTTAAATTATGTAAAAATCCCATTCCTCATCTCATTTTTACCCACTAGATTTAACATCCAATAGTATTTTTTACCTGAAATTATAACTATGATGATTGTCAATTTTCTTCTAAACTTTATGTTTGTTCATTGGTATTGTGCTGTAAGAGCTTTCTCTTCTATTCACTCCCCTGTTTGTATCAGTTTGGACTCTTGAACTTCTACTTTATTTCATGGGTTATACCTCACTGTTATCATTATTTCTTTTGATCCTTATATTATCCCCAAATTATCCCAATATTGCCAGTGGGAACTCCTGCAAACAGAGTTCTGTGTCCTTTTAACACTTCTCTGTCATTCATTGAGAACTTCCATGTTTTCTGTTAAAACAAGATGTTCCAGGCTTATCTTGGTTTTTTTTTTTTTATCTGCCCCAGCCCTATAATCAGTCATTTTCTCCCAGAAGCCCTGGTTCCTTTAGTGGAGAATGGTATTTAGAAACCAAGATCTGGGCTCTGTGTGCACTGATTGCTACTGGGATGTCACAGCTCCTAGGTTCCCTCGGTGGCTCAAACTAAGAAATATATGCATGTATCTATATACATTGGTATTTACAGCTATCTAGAGACTGCAAACCATGATGTCACACCAATACCTCCCATTCCAGTCCAGTGCCAGAGTTCATCCTAGTCCAGTCTAGTTCATTCTAGTCCCCCCACCCCACCCCTGCATGTTTGTACTTCCCTTGCCCAGAAGCCTGGCTCCCATAGGCCTCAATATATCGACTTATTTGCTTGGTTTCCCTATGTAGCCAATCTCCTGATCCCCAAAGGGCCAGTCAAAAGCCTTCCTCATGAGGTCTCCAATCCCTGCTGACTGTAGTCTGCACACATGAACGTCCTCCCTGTGGTCCCATTGCTACCCTGCTGCCTTCCTCCTCAATTTACCTTCCACACATTAAAAAGAGCTACTGGGGCGCCTGGGTGGCTCAGTCGTTAAGCGTCTGCCTTTGGCTCAGGTCATGGTCCCAGGGTCCTGGGATCGAGCCCCACATCGGGCTCCCTGCTCAGCGGGAAGCCTGCTTCTCCCTCTCCCACTCTCCCTGCTTGTGTTCCCTCTCTCGCTGTGTCTCTATCAAATAAATAAATAAAATTTTAAAATAAAAGACAGCTACCATCTTCCATCTTCTGCCATCTGGGAAACCCTCCAGTGCCACTCCTTAAACATATAAAAAACATGCTTTCACGTCACTCTGTTCCTCAATGATAGTCACTATGGCAGAATTCACTGTTTTGTTTTTACCACATTCCCAGAATTTAGGGCGGAAGTATATACATTAATATTTGCAGTCATGAAAGAATGTTTGTTTTTTGCTCTTAATTTTAGAAACGGTTAATCAGCAGCACAGTTTGGTCACTTACTAAGAGCTGATTGATCGAGTTCTTGACAATTCTGCTCAAAAACTAATTAAATTACAGCTTAACTTATCATGGCCTTCAGTGATCTTTTCTCCCAGTGGGTCTTTTCTCCCGTTGGAGACCCATTTATGGAAAGGGCTTTGCCTTTGATTTAACGACAAAGATGCTACTAATCTGCTCCACTTACTCATTTATGCACTCATTCATTCACCAAATATCCATCGAGGACCTGCTATGTACCTATGGTTGTCCGTGGTAACATGGGATCCACGACACACAGACTCCCCTGCCCTAGCTACGTCTCTAGTGTTCCTTGTCTTCATCCTGCACTCTCCTCTATTTACTGCCTAGCTGGTCAGACTGCAAGGGTGTGTGAAGGGGGTGTGGGAGAAAGTAAAGGAAGTGGGTCCTGGTAAGACAACCAGCCCCCCCGGAGAGGGAGGGGATCCACCTCCTCAGAGCCACTTTCCCTTCCCCTTAGGCTGTCAGAGCAGCAAGTCACAATCCCAGGTGACCCAGCAAAAACAGAGTGCTTACCAGCTGGGTTATCTCCACTCTGGCTTCTGGGGATCTTCTGGAGGGGCAGGAGGGGGAAAAGAGAGGAGCACACCCCCCGCACCTACTCATGGCTGCTGAGACTGAGCTCTGGGCTGTCTCACCCTTCCACCCCTCTCTCCCCATTTTCCATTCCTTCCTCCAGCGAAGGCCTCTGCCTGGGGCCCAAAGAGCTAACAGAGCAGCTTTCCACTCTGCAGGTCTTGAGACCCCAGAGCAAAGCCCAGAGCACGACAGAGGCTGAGCTTGTTTGCGCTGTGGGTCACGGGTTCTCACTGGGCAAGGGAAGGCCTGAGCAGGGCGTGGGGTGCAGCTGCAAGGTACTTCGGGTGGTTGTGATGCTATCTGGGCCTAACCGTTTCCTTTGGGTAGGCATTTCCGCCCTCCTGTTTGTGAAGCCAGAAACCTGTGCTGGGGCAGCCCCATTCTGAGCCAAAAAGAAGACTAGATGGAGGCAGAAAGAAAAAGGCGCCATGAGTCAGGGTTAGAAGACATGGTAAGAGACTATGTTCCTATCACCCGCTCAGTCCCACACCTTTAAAAGGAAGAAAAGAGTCACAAGCAGAAGGATGCATTGTAAGGTACCAGGAAATTTCCTTTCCTGCTGCCAATTCTGCCCTAGGGTTCTCGCCTCTCTCGCGCTGTGTGACTGAGATGGGAGGGGAGTCACCCTTAATTCCTAAGGGCAGGGGGCCCGTTCGTGGTTCCCCAGAATGCCCTGCTCTAAATAAAAGAAATATCTGGTCCCTATTCATTTGAGCTTGTACACAAAGCTAAGCATTACAAAAACAGCTACTCTTCTCAGAGTGCCGACTACACTGTAGAGGTCAGGAAGCTGAGGATCAGAGAGATTAAGTGACTTGTCAGAGGAAACCCAGCTAGAAAGTAGCAGAGCTGGAATTCAACCTGCAATCCATTTCTGGAAATTGAGGTCTTGCCCCTATGTTCAGAACTGGAAAATGCTTTGGCATTTGGGCTGTTAGTGTTTTAGAAAGTCAGGCTTTAGAAGGTTCTATGAGGGGCGCCTGGGTGGCTCAGATGGTTAAGCGTCTGCCTTCGGCTCAGGTCATGATCCCAGGGTCCTGGGATCTAGCCCCGCATCGGGCTCCCTGCTCGGTGGGGAGCCTGCTTCTCCCTCACCCTCTACTGTTCCCCCAGTTCCCTCTCTAGCTGTCTCTCTCTCTGTCAAATAAATAAAATCTTTAAAAAAAAAAAAAAAAAAAGAAGGTTCTATGATAGGAAGAAGGTCATGTTTCTAAGACTGGTATCCAAAGCAGCAATCTAAGTGCCTGAAAGACCCACCCATAGTGTTGGGATGAAGAGCTGAATCAGAGCAGGTTTTCCTAGTGTGAGCAAACTCTCCACTTGTTTGCTTTTTGGGATTCTCCCTATATTTCCCTTCACAGGGCTCACCCTGGCCCACCCTGCTGTTGCCCTCTGACACTGCTAGCACCGGTAGGGAGTGAACTTGGGTGAGGCCTTGGGATGGGGGCAGGGCAGGCAACCGGACACGGAGGCACCCCTCCCTGACAGCCAGTCCCCTTGTATTCACAGTCCTTGCACGCATCTCCCGTCTTCACTCTGTCCTGGGGAGAGGGATCCAGAACCCAGGGCTGGTGGCCAGTACACAAGCTGGTAGCGGAGAAAGCACCTACTGCAGATTCCAGATCCCACATCCCTCCCACGCAGCCTCCTCTTCTTCAGCCTCTTCGCAGCAGCCGGGATGACTGGAACAGCCCTGGGGGAGGGCTGCTAGGCTGGGTCTTATGGGAATCGGATGTTCAGGATCCTGCCCTTTACTCTAGTAGGAACGGCAAAAAAGGCCCTTTAGCAAGCAGCATGTGGGAGCTGAAATTCCCACAGAATCCAATGCATCAGTCAAATCAAGGGGAGAGAAAAAGATTTAATGCGACAGGGAACTTGAAAATCCTTGCTTGGACCCCTTGTGGTCCTTCACCCCCCCCAAACACCTCCCCCCACGCCCCGTACACAGATAGATGGACAGATTGATCGGTGTTTCCTGAAAACGGGACCGTGCACGTGGAAAGAACAGGAGATGAAAAATAGGAAAGGGGGTCCTGTGGGTTCCACACAGAGCGCTGAAGACTCTGTTGAAATAGCTCCGGTCCTGGGGCCATGAGAGAACACAGCCGCATCGAAGGTCCTCTCAATCCCACGCAAGAATGCCGGGAAACCCAGGTATGACATGAATGCCATAATTTTTTTTTTTTTTTTTTTTAAGGAGGAAAGAAAGCAATAAGGATGCACGTAAAAGAAGGAAACAGAGAAGAGGGGAGATAAAAAGAATAAAAGAACAGCTTTAACTTTTAGGGCAAGAAAAAGGTATTTTAAAGGAGGGCGAGGTTGAGAAGGGCTGGGACCCGGGCAAAGACCAGGGTCCTGCAGAAACTTCGCGAGGAAGAGGGGCCAGACGGTGTCCCATCCCCATGTTTGGGCAGATTAATGGAGTCGTGACTCCCTCGCTCGAGTCCTGCCCTGGGAGGGGACAGTATCTGTTTAGATTTGTGTCTAAATTTAAACTCTGATCGTCGGCCTCCCTCCCCCGCTCCCCACCCCTTCTCCCTCCCGCGGCCTCCCCCTTCCTCGTGCTCTCGCGCAGGGCCTGGCAGCCCGCAGTCCCGAGGCAGGCAGCCGCCGGCGCGCCGCCCACCCACCGCCCCCGCCCCTGCCTTGCGCGCCGCAGCCCCGGGTCCGGCGGGCGCGGGGAGCCGAGCGGACAGCGAGCGCGGCCGCCGCGGAGCCGGCACCTGGAGGCCATGGAGGTAAAGCGCGGGGCGGGCAGCGCGGACGGCGGGCGGCGGCCGGGGCGCACGCAGCTGCTGGGCTCGGGGCGGGGAGCGCGGGACTCCGGCCGCCCAGGCGGGGAAGGAGGGCAGATGCGCCCGGGGCTCCCGGGACACCCCGCGGGGCAGGCCGGGCGGCGGGAGGACCTCCGAGGGAGGGCGCGGGGGCAGGGGGGAGGGGAAGGGGCCTCCGGGGGGCGGGGGGGTCCAGGTGCTGGGTTCAGGACGTCTGTGCTTCAGAAGTACGAAGTTAGGTGCAGCGACTTCGTAAATGGGCGAACATGTGGGCAAAAAAAATCTCAATAAAGCAGAAGCCCCTGAATCTGGAGAGTCCGAAGAGATGGGTATTGAAAGAGAAACAGAGCAGGCGACGTGAGGCGCTTCTGTGCCAGGCTGCGGGCTTCCCTTTTCGACTGAAGATTGACCTTTAGGAGAGTCCTCTTGCCTCTCAAGTCCCTCTCTGGCCGTCACATCTTCTGTCAGAACTTTCTGAAAAGCTCCCCTCGCGGGCAGTCAAATGGCGCTGTCTCTGATCAAACTTGAGACTCCCGTGTATGTCCCTGCCTTCTGAGACTGGCTGTGTCAAGGGGTGCTGGCCGCATCTGTGGGGTGCCCGCGGCTTTTCTGCGTGGCTCTTTCCTGGCGCTGTTCCCACCCCAGTGGGGTGCAGGCGCCACCCGCCAGTGGAGGAATGCCCCGTGTATTCCCCTGTCCCGCCCTTCTCCACATTTTGAGGCTTCCACAGATTTTCCCCTTGAAATGGAGACCTGACGTTTAGCCCTGAGCCAATCTTAACAGGACGGGGCTTTTGAAAAAGATGAAAGGAGAAGGTGCAAATGTTAATGTAGCTTCTAAGGTGATTCCCACCCACACTCAAAAAGAAGACTGTTCCTCCTGAGGCTGTAGTCACAGTGTTCCTTCCTTCCCAGCTCCAGGCTCTGCACCGGAGCCCTGGCTGGCTCTCCTGAGCTAGACCCCTGCTGGGCCTGTGAAGCCCTGTGACTTCTCTGCAGGGCTCTCGGTCTGTCCTGAGCAGGCATCCTGCATTCAGGCATCCAGCTCGACTGGTTGTTTTCAAGGAACAGGGACCATTTTCAGGGAGCCTTTAGAGTGTGGGATCCACCCTCCTTGGAAACATTGGCAAATCAGGGAAACTCATGCAGATTAGGGCTGGGGAAGGGTGGTGGGGACCGCACAGCAAAGCTCAGCAGGTGGTGTCCAGGTCCGCTCAAAGACCATCCAAGCCCAAAGCGTCAGGATTCTCTCCGGCTGGCTACACCTTCAGGGCAGAGGAGGGAGATGGCCCAGGGGGGTGCCCAACTTGTCAGGCGGGGTGAATGAAGCCTCCTAAAGAAGTTGCTTCAGAAGTGGGTACCCTCCTCTGGGAGAGTACAAGGGGCTTCAGGCCCTAGGCTAGAGGTTCGATATGATTTAGGGCCCACCTAATCTCTTGCAGAAATGGACTGGGGATAAGAGCAAAGCAAGCCTTAGGAGTGAAAGCATTTTGCTGCTTGGGGGGCCAAATGCGTGTGTGAGGCCAAATACGTGTGTGAACTTTGTTCTCGGAAGACACAGAGGGACTCATTCCACAGAGGCACTGTCTTCTCCCTCAGTTGAGGAAGGAATGGTGTGTGGTAGAGGTCCTGAAATTGTCACCTGAGCAACTTCCCGTGTGGCTTGGGGCTGGGAAAAGACAAGGCCCTCCGGTCTACATCTACAAAGGGAGAGGTCTACATCTACAAAGGGAGACGGGTCGTAACTGCTGGGGGGATTTTACCAAGATGGGGGTTGGGAGGGAATTGCTCAGCCAGCCAGGAAGCCTGTCGGTTTGCCCTGAGTCTGCTGATTGGTAGTGACTGCTTTTGAAGTTTTCTTTGTCAAAACGACTGAAAAAAGAACTGCAGCTGCTAGCCCTGGAAAAGGAAGTAAAGAGGAAACCGAGAGGCTGGGGAAGTGACGATTCATAGCCAGGAAGTAAACTTTTATGGTGGGACATGATATGCAGGAGTGGGATTTGGGAACTCCTGACAAATCTCAGAGTAAATCCCTCTTTTGAGAGATGAAACCGACTTTTGAGGCATGAAGGCACCACTCTATTTGGGGAGAAACTGAGTTATATGACTTCTCAGTATTAGGAATTCAAGCCAGATCAACAAGGCTTACTCAACATGCATTCTCTAGAACCCACTTATCTATTGGAAGTCTTTGGGAAATCTGTTCTTTTTTTTAAGCCACTGTTGTCAATATCAGTCATTACTTCAGCCCTCATTAAGCCCTCTGGAATAAACAAGATTAAGATGCCTTTTAAAAGCTCACAGTGCAGTAGGGCAAATGAGACTTACTAGATCCTGTCATGTATGAGTTTTCAAACATGTAAATGCCAAACGAATGACTACTGCAGATGATAAGTATGCTGGTGTTTTGAGGTGAGACCTGGCAGAAGCCTTGAAAGAATAGTGGGTGGTGAGGAGGAGAAGGCATAGGAATGGGTACAGGGAGAACATGTCAGCTTTGTTCAGGAAAGTAGGCCAGTTGGCTGAGAGGAAGGTAGGGAAGCAGCAAGAGAAAAAAATGAAAGTAATAAGATAAAAACCACAGGGCCTCCAACTATAGTGGATGCTGGCCAAGTGGGTGAGTGGGAGCTGGAATCCAAGCCATCGGAGGAAAGGGTTACTTTTTCTTCATACAAAGTCTCCTTGTCTAGCTGTGCCCCCAAAGGGGTGCCTTTTTCTAATTCAGGCAGAGGCCAGCTGCAGGCCTCCAAGGCCAGATAGGAGATGGCCCTGGGTTCTGCTCCACGGAGAGTAGGAAACTCCACAGGGCATTTAGTAAGATGGTGGTCATGAGGAAGCAGGGATGAACTGGCAGAAATGCCAATTCATAGAGTGAGCAAGGGAACCAGGCTGAGAAGTTTCTCTGAGTGTCCATGCAGATTCTGCCTTCACGAGAAAATAAGGATGGAAAAGATGGAAGAGTAAGGTCCGTGTGTCGAAGGAGAAATCAGAAGTGACATCTGTGTTTGAGCTCACCAGGGTACCCAGAAGGGTGGAGTTCCCGAGACACCAAGGAGAATAGTGCAGCTTTTACGTAAGCCTATAAGCCCTTTGTAAGCAGGATCTGTCCTGTTGGTCCTCCCGATCTCCAGAGATTAGCACGGTGCCTCGAATTATAATCCTCTCACTTCTCAAGAAAAGTTTTCTCGGTAAATGAAGTAAGAGAAACAGGGAAGTCCTTGACATCTCAGCACCGCTCCAGTGCCTTAGCCTGGGAGGCCTTGGCAGATGCCCTCAGACCCCGTGGCTCTCTCCCTGAGCACTTTGTGCAAGCTGGGTGCCAGTACTGGGCCGACTTGTAACTGCCCAGCTGGCTCTCTCCCTGGAAGGCCCAACAGACACTCAATAAATGCTTTTTGAATGAGTAAATAAATGACTGATGATGGGAGAAAGATGAGATTTTTTTTTTTTTAAAGCAAGGTTTAGGTATATTGGTTTTGAAATGCCCAGCACTCCCCAAGAAATACAGACCTCTTAGGATGCAAATAAGATTCTTCTTTAGAAGAGTTAACGGGGGACATCACTGTGGATAGGAGCCCAGAAGAGAGAAATAAATAGTAAAGAAAGATATGGAGACTTAGGACATCCATATTAAATTAATATTCTTAGTTGTTTAACTATAAATTGTAGGCCCTACCAAATAACCTGAGAGTGCTTGCAAAGAGTTTAATCTTCACGGATGAAATCCTTCGTTTGTTCAATGAATAGGAGACACGTGAAAATTAAACTTATTTCCCACAACCATGTGTCTACTATTTAGTTGAACATATGAAGGATTTCATCTGTGAAGATTAAACTTTCTTGCCACTAAACAGATAATCTCTCATTTAGATGGGGACAGTTAATGAGTCCTTTTCTTTGAGGCTACGCCAAGTCCTTTCCAAATATCATTTGTTCTTCGTCCATTTATTCAGTATTTATTGAGCATTTATTCCATACTGAACCTTGTGTTTGAAATGTTACTTAAAAATCACTGGGCTATCATGTCTTTTTCTCCTCGCAGACTATCAGTATTACTGACTATGACAGAGAAAGAGAGGGAGGGACAGAGAGTGTCTGTGTACCCGTGTGTGTCCCTGTGTATATAATGTGTTCAATTTGTAACCTACTTTTTCACTGATTTTTTTTTTTAATTCATTAAATTTTTTTTACCACAATTGCACCAACAGCCTTTGCTGTTTTTGGACCCACCCTCTCGCTGAGCCATATGTTGGCTGCTGGCTGGAGCTTATGGCTCATAATTAGGGATTGCATGGCCTCTGGAAGCTGGGGTTTAGCTCGGAAGACTTGTGGGCATCCCCAGGTACCCTCACGTTCCTGTGTGGCTCCCGGGTGCTCTGTGGGACCCCCAAAGTAACACTGGCTTCTGCTTAGCCGCCACCTTTCATTCACTGGCCTGCAATGACAGGGGGCATTTGGGGCAGTCCGACTGGAAGGGCCCAGGCCGGATCACAGGAGGGGTGAGTGTGCATTCCCGAGATGGAGTCAGGTTTCAGAGCCTGATCCGCAGTGTGCCTCCTCGAGGCAAGGAGAGCCAGAGCAGGGTGCCGTGGGAAATCTGAACGCTAGTGGCTCAGCGGCCCAGTAATCTTATCAGGGCCATAGGCGAAAGCATTTTTGTTCCAGAGAAATCTGAAGGCAGCCCTGCCTTCCTCTAGTAATAGCTTTAGGTTTGCAGCCAGCCTGACCACCCCTACTCGACTCACTAGAATCAAAACATTTCAGAGCTGTGGGTGGAAGGATACCTTCTCTAGCTGCCCCCGCCACGTTGTGAGGGAGAAAAGAGAGCCACCGAGGCTGCTGGTGGACCTTTGGAAAGCCAACAGCTTGCAGTGTTTCTCTCATCTGGGGAGCAGAGCAGCCTAAACCTTAAGAAGTAAGATCATCAGTTTCATCACAAAAGCAATATCCACCTCATGTTTGGCC